CAAATACACCATCTTTATTCCCAGGTGACCCAGCTCCTTGTTACACAAATAGGAGTATGACCTTAATAATGAAACCCATCAACATTTTGTTTCGTTGGTGAAAGTAACCTGATCTAATCAATGCGAAATCTAGAAAAGCCATCGTTTTATGTAACCTACTTTCTGAATAAAACTGTCCTTTTTTCTGATCTCATTTCTTGAATGTCATCAAGCTTTCAATTTATTTCACAGCATTCTTATCAGATTATTTGCAATGACTAAATGAAATGAGCGAAAATGACGAAGATGAATATAACCTGGCATCAAAGATAGATGATAACGAGGTATATTTGAATGTTCTAAAATGAAAGATTGAACAAAATATCAAGTCGCTGGGCAACATTGGTTATTATAGGTCAGTTAGCTGCTACCTATTAACAACTCTCAGAAGTCTACAGAATTGAGTATTTACACATTTCAAAGATAGGTAGATAGATTTATTCATCAATAAAGGTTTATAGAACAGTAGTACAAAATTTATCAGGCTATTCAATAAATGAACAAATATGAAATTCTTAAAATTTATGAAAACGTACATGATATCATAAAACAGTGTAAAATACACTGCAACTTTATACTACATGTGCCGAAAAGTTTCGGGCCATACACATAGATGGCGCTATTCTTATTGCATCCACCGCTGTTTCAGTTAGTACTAAACTTAAAAAAAAAGCTGTTGAAATTTCATGATATTCTACTCATAAGTTTGTGAGTAGAGTGACACTACTTTTGTTATTTTCAAAACAATGGATCAAAAACAATTTCGTGTTTCAATTTTACACTACGTCTTGATGGGAAAAAATAACGTTCAAGCGGGGCAATGGCTGGAAAAGTGTTATAAGGACTCCGCTCCATCAGAAACAAGAATCAAACGTTGGTTTGCTGACTTCAGACGTGGTCGTAGAGACAACAATAATTCAGAACGCAGTGGACGCCCAAATGATGCAGTAACACCAGCAAACATAAAAAAAATCCACAAAATCGTTTGGAATGATCGAAAAGTGAAGTTGCGTGAGTTAGCTGGCATTGTGAAGGTATCAAAAGAACTGTTGGCTTTGTATTGCATGAACATTTGACTATGAGAAATCTCTGCTCGAAGTGGGTGCCGCGCGAGCTTACTGTTGACCAAAAACAAGAACGTCTTTATGATTCTGAGCAGAGTTTGGTTAAGTTTAAACATAACAAACCGGAATTTTTGCGTGGATATGCTACAATGGATGAAACAAAGATACATCACTTCACTCCGGAATCAAAACGATCTTCATCTGGGTAGAGAGTAACTGGTGAACCTCGTCCAAAGCGCCCGAAACCACAACAATCGGCTGGAAAGGTTATGTCCTCGGTTTTTTGGGATGTGCGCAGCGTTATATTCATCGACTATCTTGAGAAGGGAAATACCATCAACAGTAAATATTAAATAGCGTTATTGGAGCGTTCGAAGACCGAAATTGCAAAGAAACGACCACATAAGGCAATGAAAAAAAAATTGTTTCATTAAGACAACGCACCGTGTCACAAGTCAATCAAAACAATGGTAAAACTACATGAACTGAACTTTGAATTGCTCCCACACCCACCGTATTCGCCAAATTTGACTCCCAGCGACTTCTGGCTGTCTGCAGATCTCAAAAAATGCTCACCGGTAAGAAATTTCGCTCGAACGAAGAGGTTATTGCTGAAACGAATGCCTATTTTGAGGCAAAAGGTAAATCGTTCTACAAAAGTGGCATTGAAATGTTAGAGCGGCACTTGAATGATTGTGTGGCTGTTGGTGGAGATTACATTGATAAATAAAGTCAATTTTGAACAAAAAATACCGTTTTTTTCTCTTTTCAGTCAAAGTGTCAAACCCAAATAAAAAAAAAAGAAAAAAGTTTTTTCTTGAGCCCATGTGTTGAGTTCATAAGATGACATAGATATTTTAATATATTCACTTCTAAAACTGTTCTTTTTCCAAAAAGTTGAATAAAGTGTTTTAAATAAGTTAACACTGCTGATATCACCAAAAATATCTGTAGCATGAGTGTATTGATTTTACTGGCAGACGATATGGCGTATAGCCATGATGCTACATATAGCTCACAGAGTTATTAACATAGCCTACCCAGTACAAGAGGCTTGTATGTATGTAAATAGTAGGGAGGGTAAGTGTATACCCACAGCACTTAGGCCACATGTGACCTAGTGTACATCCTCCCAGGAGTTGTCCTCCTAGGTCATCGCCCATCATGTTCTTTCCAGGAAGGTGGACAGGTTACTAGAAAATATCTCCTTTATATCGGCAGGTGTAGGCCAAAATTCGCCAAACACACACTCTCTTTGGCAACCTTGAGGTATCTCACGGCGACCTCCGCGAAGGTTTTGGAAGGTGCAGCGACATTACTGTCTTTGCGAGGCTTCTTCAACCTTCCTGGGGTTCCCCTAGTGGAGGTGTTCAAGTGAGGGCGCTTTCCTGCTGGGGCAGCCGGTTCCTTGCCTTCATTCAAGGCGGAGATCTTGGCGCCCGCCGCAGGAAGTGTCCTTGCTGTTGGAGGTGGAGTGGGAGAGGAGGAGGGTGCACTTATAGTTGCTGCCACTCCTACCTCTTTCGCTCTCTTTCTCGTTTTGGCCTCGGCGCCGCAAATGCGCCGCCTTTGTATTACATCACGAGGTTATCTGCTTTGTCCAGCCTCATTCCGAGCGGTAGATTGGGGTGGACATTTCTGTTTATCCCCAGCCACCGCCATAGATTGAGGTGAGCACTTCTGTCCAGCCTCGGGATTGGTTTTTGTTGTGTCTGTTTCATATATGTGTGTTCCCACGAATAGCAAAGGAAGACATGGTCACCTCTGGCAGAGCCCGGCATTACCAGAGGAAGGCTGATTACAATGAGGTTTCGCCCGGTTCCCCAAGGGGAACATTCGTAACCGCATATCACCCTGAGGCCATTCAGCTGTCGGCACGATTCCTTACACCTTAGCTTGGGTAGGCTGGTCCACGGTGGCATGTTTCGCAAAGGCTTATGACGATATGTAATGATGCCGAGAACCTCAAAACAAAAAAATTGTTTCGAAATAAAATGAGTATAACAGAGTATTTACATAGTACGACAATGTTTTTTAATCTGGTAATCTTCTTGTCTTATTTGAAGACCTGATCATATTCCAGCCTTCATCATTAAAGATTGTGTCTCAGCTCTGCTTGAACCACTAACAACTCTAATTAATATATGCCTGAAAACATAAACTACACCATTGATATCGAAAATGTCGAAAGTCTAGACAATTTTCAAAAAAATAGATAAAAGTGAGATAAAAAATTACAGACCAATCTCTATCATATGCAACTTTTGAAAAGTGTTTGAAATGCTTCTTGAGAAGACAATCTATTGTCATGTCAGCAACATTATTAGCCCCAATCAACACGGTTTCATGAAAGGACTCAATCACTCAATGTATTGTAGAGGGTATTGATTGTCAGTCTCAGACTGATGTCATATACACTGATTTTTCTAAAGCGTTGGACAGACTTGACCATAGTATCCTGCTCAACAAGCTTTCGACTTTTGGGTTATCCAATGAAATCATTAGGAATCACACGTTGAAAGGTAAGACCTCGTTAGTCCTCAGCTCGCACAAGTTTCTCAACTTCTGAGAGTTGTCGTTCGTATGGGGGCGACAGCTGATCAACGGAAAAACAGATTTTAAACAGATTTAAACAGAGAAATCGTATTTTTACAACCGTAAGCAGTACGTCCAACTCAATGGCTTCAAGTCTATCGAATATATAGCCACATCTGGGGTACCTCAAGGATCAAATCTAGGACCTCTACTGTTCAATATGTTCATTAATGATATCGGAGCTGAGATTTATGTCAATATCCTTTTATCCGCAGATGACTTGAAACTCTATCACAATATAACATGTTCTAATGATTGCGAACGTCTCGCTCTGAATTTAAATCGCGTTGCTACATGGTGTCAAAAGAATAATCTATCTCTCAACATATCCAAATGTAATGTAATGTCTTACTCACTAAAAACAAACTTGAATTTACACAACTACGTCATAAACAATCTAGTTCTGGAGCGTCCTGACACACTCACTGATCTAGGTGTTACTTTTGATTCATCCCTCTCTTTCAATAAATATATTGACACTTCTCTAACAGCAGCTTATTGCATGTATGGATTCTTAGTTGGAAATATAAAAGACTTCGAAAAAGCTTCAACATTGAAATTACTTTATTTCACTTTTTTTCGATCTAGGCTGGAATATGGAGTCCCTACTATCAGGTTCATATAAATCAACTAGAAGCCCTACAGAGGCGCTTCCTAAAACATATGTCTTTTAAACTTGAAGGCACGTATCCTACTGTAGGAATACCCTATTATGAATTGCTTGTAACTCACAATTTTTGTAGTCTCGAGGTAAGACGTAAATATTATTCATTTCTTTTTTTATTCAAGGTCATAAACAATATCATCACCTGCTCTCAACTGTTACATATGTTAAATTTGTGGATTCCTAGACGGTCATCTAGAAATATTGTCACATTTTATCTCAACACTCCGTTTACAAATATAATGAAAAAATCTTCAATTTATACAATGTGCGATACCTCTAATTCTGTTAGTCATGTCCTAGATATATTCAACTGCCAGTTTATACAAATCAAAAGACATTTCTTAGCTAACTGACAGTATTGTTTTTTTTATATAGATTCACAAATTATATTATGTTAGTACATATTTGTAAATGCCACTGTTACTTCCTATTCTGTAATTGGGATCATCCTGTAGAATAGTGTATGAGATCACATTAAAACTTTAATTTCAGTATCACAAATGTGTCTGATCAATCAATACTACGTATGTGAAATATGGGGCTACATTGTCATTCTAGAAAAGATATCACAGCATGAACTCTCCGTAAATTCTCAATTTTGCTATCTTATTACTAAAGCAATATTTTATTTTCAGAGAATGTTCCGAAGCTTCACAAAGTACTTGGGCTCTCTAATAGGGGTCGAAAATAGCAGCAGCATAAAAGGGGTCGAAAATAACAGCAGCATACCAGTCATACCCCAATACGTTGAGATAGAAGACGATTGGCTTATAGTAAACGCATTGACCATAAGGAAACCGTTTGGTAAGCAGGATGAAGAGGATGAGAAGGATGAAGAGGATGAGGATGAAGATGAGGAAGATGTACCTCCTCTTGAGCGACCAAGTTCCGCGTCATCCCTTCAAAGTGATTCGGTCATGGAGGAATCCTGGTTTGTCACTCCTCCGCCGTGTTTCACGTCAGAAGGTTAGTTTAATCTCATCCGTCTACGGTCAGTAGCTGACACCTTCTGAATTATCAATATTATTATTTTACTTGATATCATCTAGAGTGAATTCTGTTAACAATTCTGCACTTCCGATAAAAAAAAAAATTGCAAATAAGAGTTCTCTCTGATTCAACGCAAACGTTAACTGCTTTGTATTCCTTTTTCACTTGTAAAAGAAAGATATGTTTCATCGCGTATTGTGTTGATGACGCATATACATTTTTTTATCGTCATATAACATTTTTATTTTTTCCAGGTAACCAAAGAGTAGTTAGAAAAATAAAATAAATTAAATCTCTGATAGGATCATGCATTTGCACTTTTGAATGTTCATTATGAACGTTCATATACAAATTTAGACCAAAAAAATGAAGTCTGTATAATTCACTAAGTGGGAAGGAGTTGTTCTTGTATGCATGTAAAACATGGGTTATCTTCTAACATTATTCAATATTGGAAACTTAAGAACCGAGATATTGAAGTGTTCGTAATAATTGTTATGAATCTGCTCTTTTTTGACTAGTTCTTGGGTGATAAAGACTACATATATTTCCAACAATATGCTTGTGCTTAGCACTGTCGTAAAATTCGCGTGGAAGCTGATTTGTTCTGTTATGTGGTTTTATTAGTTGAATCGTTGAAAGAAAGTACTAAAGGAAAAAGCTGAAATGTTAGGATTCCAAATAACTAGTCGGTTTCACTTATGAAACCTCAGTATTGCAATCACTATACACTATACACACTATGGCACAAAGAGAACCATTCTCTGTAATGCTACTAAACTGTGGCTGAGCTCTAGAGTAGTCCTTGTCAGCAGGATCTAACTAATAGTATTTATATCCAACAAGGTAACGTATTTTCACAATGGTACATCTATGATTAATTAATTGCGAACTTCTTTATCAATAATTTTTAAAACAATTGTTCATGAAAGGATAAACAATGTGATGTTTGGAATTGGATCTTTGTTATTGATTACATGGATACCATACTGGTTGCTAATTCTAGATTTTCAAAATCATCCATAAGTCTGTATACTCTGTTTCCTGAAAATAAAAAGTAATAAATGCTCCTTATAAGTGCAAAATGCTAACAGAGGGCTCAAACAAAATGTTGTGATTTCCTTATGATTTGCCACAGCTGGTAAAGGCGGGTTTATAACACCTAACCTAACCTAACCGAGTCCATCCTATTTTTGTATGGCAAACAAAAGACTCTATGAGACTTCAGGTCGTTTTATACCTGTAGTGTCCTGTGTTTGGATATTTAATCAAAAATATTTGTTGAAACTAACAATTATGTTTATTTATTTATTTATTTACTATTAATATTGCTAAAACATTTTGATTCAATTTATTTACATAATAATANTATCTTATTACTAAAGCAATATTTTATTTTCAGAGAATGTTCCGAAGCTTCACAAAGTACTTGGGCTCTCTAATAGGGGTCGAAAATAGCAGCAGCATAAAAGGGGTCGAAAATAACAGCAGCATACCAGTCATACCCCAATACGTTGAGATAGAAGACGATTGGCTTATAGTAAACGCATTGACCATAAGGAAACCGTTTGGTAAGCAGGATGAAGAGGATGAGAAGGATGAAGAGGATGAGGATGAGGATGAAGATGTACCTCCTCTTGAGCGACCAAGTTCCGCGTCATCCCTTCAAAGTGATTCGGTCATGGAGGAATCCTGGTTTGTCACTCCTCCGCCGTGTTTCACGTCAGAAGGTTAGTTGAATCTCATCCGTCTACGGTCAGTAGCTGACACCTTCTGAATTATCAATATTATTATTATTATTTGCTACTTTGCTATTATAGTTTCGTCACTTTTTGTTATCATTTCACTACAGATGGTGAATCACAAAATGCTCTTGAAGTTAATTTTTTTTTCAGTAGAAATACATGACAAATGAATATAAATCTTATTTGTTTAAAGAACATTGTATTTATATACTTAGGATAAGTTTTTGAGGTTATAATAATATTTGTTATGAATATCTTTGTGCTTCCCAAAGATTTACTGTTGGTTGACTTTCAAACTTTTAGCAGGTTGCCAAAACCATTAAAATTGTGCCTACCTGAAGTGAACAATATAGAAGGAATTTCCTACCGAGATACTTGGGTATTGAAATTGAAAATCTATATTTCAGCTGTACGTAGTAGATTTTTAATTTTGCTCGGGACTCTCCCATGGACACCACCCTCTATATAGAAATTTCGATTTAAAACATTACTATGAATATATTTCTTACAGGGCCAACGCTGAGTACATCACCTTTGGAGAATCTACTCATCGAACATCCCAGTATGAGCGTCTACCATATTAACAGTAGTAGTAGAAAATATTCTGTGTCTGATTTAAGATCAGATGATTTAGATGACGACGACGATGAAGATTTTGAGAATATGGGGCACATACAATCACTATCATCCAATTGGCAACGTTTGGACAATTGTTATGGTAGATTTATCATGTTTGATAGATCAGAAGGTGAATATGGAGATGAGGAAGCTGAATTCATTGACAATATAGAAAACATGCCAGCATACAATACGCTAGTTTTGGAGAACTGTGTCGAAGAATATGTTGGGTGTGATGGATCAGATAAACTAGAGAAAGAAGTTGAAGTTGTTGAAAATTCAGCACATTTGCCTGCACAAACACACAGTGGACGATTTTTGGACAATTATATAAGAATATTGAAGCAGGAACAAATTCAGCGTTACCAGTTCAGACAAGCTCAAAAAGTAAGTAACATATATTGTAATAAAATGTGCATGAATAGTATAAATCAAATGAGTAAATGAAAATGTGTTGAATATTTATATGAGGAGAACAAAAAATGAAATTTTAGTGTTTTTATTATATATTATGTCAACAATGTTGGATTTATTCATATTTTTGAGTTTCGGAAAAGTAGCCATATATTAATAGTGAACTGTTTTAGTTTCCTTTTCAAATTGTTTACTTGCTTCTTTAACGAGCCTTTTCTATTATTCTTTCACTTTTATTAATATCTATTTTTCAAAAAATAAATTTGTATCTAAAAGTGATACAAATCAATATTGAGAAACTATGTCAACCCGATAGAATGAAAATAGGTGAGCTATCCGCGATTCTGAAAAATTAAAGAAGCCATTCAAATAGAAAAAATAAGGTTCATACATCAAATTAGATTATTCATTAAATATTCCAATTATTTGAAAATCAATAATCAGAACGTATAATGACCATGAGAAGAAGTTATCAAGAGAGATACACTAACAACCCAACTAATCGGCTAGTATTCATTCAGGAAATGTATTTAATTATAACATATGAAAACATTCCGAGACATATTCTAGCACAGTTACGTTCATAGGAAGAAGTAACACATCTTGAGAAAGATGTTTTCTCATTTTTTTATGTCCCAAATACACATATAATTTCGGGAAAATGAAGATATGAAAGATAATTATTAAAGAGAACGTAGATGAAACTGACAGTCTGACATGATTTTTCCAACAACAGGGTGCATATACACACTATATTTTTTTCTGTACTCTCTTCCGGAGGCTAATGGATGTTGGTTCATGAATGTATATGTGGAGGGAGCATAATAGCGTGGTGGGGTGCTACAAATGCTGTAATTTTGGGACCACCTCCAAGGTATGCAGGCAGGAATCGGCATGCAGCATGCAGCAATCGGTGTGCGGGGCAGCATGAGATGCGTGAATGCAGAGGCTATAGAGGACTCGGCTACATGAATTACAGGGGTGACTGCGAGCTAGAGAAGGCACTTGTCATTTGATCCCAATACGCCCAGTGTATGTGAGAAGGGTCGAGCTACAGCGTAGAAGAACTAATTACGTTCAAGGTTCTACAGATAAATGTAGGGAAGGAAAGAGAAGGATTGCTGAAGAGAAAAATGCCGCAGTAGTGTGTATTTAGGAACCATTGGGCTAGGCAACCGGCCTGAGAAGGATGGGTCAAGCAAGATGATGGAAAAGGGACTAAGGTTCGCACCTGGGACCGATCCACCATCCATAGCTTGACCCCTAAGAATGTGAGAAGTATGAATAGGATAGGTATAATTGTAGGTAATGAAAGAGGTAACATAAAAATTATGAATGTATATGATAAGCCAGGTGGAGAATTTTTTATGAGAGTGGGAAGGAAGAAAGATCTGGTTGGAGATATGAATGCAAAGAACGTTGCATGGGGTGGCAACACCACGGATAAAAGCGGAGAAGATATGCTAGAATGGGATAATGAAAAAGGGGCCAAAGTCTCGGCACTTTCTCCAGCAATAGGGGGAAAAGTTGGATCGACCTCACCATTAGCGCGAATACGCAGGTGAATGAATGGAAAGTGAGTATGGAAGAAACAATGAGTAACCATAGGATGATCGAGTTTTGCTTGATGGGGTTACCAAAGACGTGAAGGGTGGTAGTTACGAATATAAGAAGAACCGACTGGGATGGAACGTATGATTTCCGAATACAATATTACGAAGGAGGATGGGACCTGAACCGAGGGGAAGGAAGAGACCAGTCAGTTTCTGCTGAACAAGTACGTCCCCAAGAACGATCCCCTGAACGGCACTCCTATCAGGCGGCAATGGAGGGAGGGAGGACGAGAGGAGTGGGGCGAGGAACTGCCAGCATTCTCGATTGGGAAGCTGCGAGAGGTGGCGAACCAGCTTCTTGACGGGAAGGCGACTGGGGAGGACGAGGTCCCTAACGAAATCTTTCGGAAGGCGACGGAATGGAAGGGCAAATGCATGATAGAACTGTTCAATTCCTGTCTGAAGAGAGAACATTTCCCGGAAGTATGGAAGAGGACAAATGGATATCAAAGAAGGACGGAAATACCAGGCTCATCAGCTTGCTGACCGGCATAGGACGGATGTTAGAGAGGCCTCTTCTTAGTGGTAGGATTTAAGTTTGGTGTGAGAAGGGGTTGAAGTTCTCTTCTGTTGAAAAAATGGTGAACAGAATAAAAGACAACAAAATAGCAAGGAGAAACAGTATAGTTGTGGCGTTGGACGTGTCAAACGCCTTTATAACTGCATGGACACCAGCAATTGAGAGATGCATGATAAGAATGGGAATGCCAAAAAATCTAGGGTCTGAGCTTTATGGGAGAGAGAACAGTCACCTGTGGGACGGACAGTCTCTGAAATGGTGAAGAGAGGCTGTCCGCAGGGATCTAGTCTGGGACCGGCACTATAGCTGCTAAGTGATGGAGGAATGGCTCGAACAAATCAATAGCATGAAAATTAGACAATGCATTGGCGTACAAGTGCAGGCCTACGTGGCTGACCAGCTGGTCGTCGTCGAAGGTAACTCTGTCAATATCATAGAGAATAGATGGAATGAATGTAAAGTTTGGGAGATGTGGCTGGGATACAACGATAGAAAGACATAATGTATGTATATACCAGCCAATAGGGTAAAAGATCCCAGGTCATAAGCATGAACGGGAGAGTGATAGAACTAAAAATGAATGTGAGATTCCTCGCAATTGTGGTGAACTCAGGGTTACTCTTTGTAGAACACCACAAGGAAGTGAGGAAAAAATTGAGTGAATTGGAGAAACTGAGGAGGTGGACCGGGCGGAATATATTGGGCTGAAGAGAGAATGTGGAATTTTGGTGAACTCAGGGTTACTCTTTGTAGAACACCACAAGGAAGTGAAAAAAAACTTAGTAAGTTGGCGGAGAAAATGAGGAGGTGGACCGGGCGGAATATTCGGCTGAAGAGAGAATATGTGAGGATGATTTACGAAAGGGTTGCGAAATATACAGCTTTTTATGGCGTACAAGTTTGGGAGAATAGAATGCATGATAGTAGAGTGGGAAGACAGCTGAGCGCGGTACAGAGGCCCTTTCTTATAGCCTCGTGCGGGGCATATAGGACCGCGCTCAGCATAATCTCAGGGATGGCTTCGCTTCATGTTGAAGCGCGGGTCAGACACCACGATTGGAGAATGCGTGGGGTAAGTAAGATTGAGAACAGAACGAAAGGGATAGACAGGATATTCCCTTGGATGCAAGACATGTTGCTGGAGGGGTTGGAGGACGAAGGAATGAATCTCGCCAGAGCGAGATTGGACGACGGGAGAATGGGAATAGGGTGGGCGTACAAATGGGGAGAGAATGAATGGATCACCAGACATGGCAGCGTGAATGAGGCAGAGTTGATTGCGATAGAAAGAGTGATTAGTATATGGAGCATGGACGAGAGCGTGATTGTCAGTAGTGACTATACCATGCTTGTAGAAAGAATGAAAGCAGGGCGGGTGAAGAACAAAAGGGTAGTAAAGATTCAACGGTTGATTGAGGAGAGGAATGAAAGGGGGGCACGAACCCAGATAGTATGGCGGAGAGGACATGAGGAAAACAATATTGGAAACAAGAAAGCCCATGAGAGAGAATGTGACGTGGAATGTGGAGAGAATGAATAGCAAGAATGAGGAGAGAAAGAATTGAAGAAAGCATCATGGGAGAATCGTAACGGGAATGGGAGAGCGGCATGACTGGACAACTGATCTATAGTTTTTGTAGAACAGTTGGATATGAATCACTGGATCTGTCCCAGAAGGCTATTCAACTGCTCTCGGGGCATGGCAATTTTCCGAGATACCTGGCTAGATTAAACCTGATTCGGACGGAGACAGGATTGGATGGCGTGAATGGAAAGATAACATGGAATGTGCGAATAGAGAAATGACACTGAGGGATACGAAATTAATGGATAAGATTTGTTAACGAATGGGCAGATAATGTGGTGAAGGATGAGTGGGACGGATAAATGGAAAGCTGCCAGCTTATGGTTGTAAGAAGGAAATAAATAAATTGAACATTGAAGTATCATTAAGAGATGGACAAAGTCGACTCAATTTGGGCAGGCCAATGAGTTGGTTTTTATAATCAACTCCGTTGATGTATGTTATTCCTGGGGTTTAAAGCTTTTTTTATTGTGTTTAGATAGGTATGTTGAGTTTGGGTTATATTTGTGATTAATAAGGAATATTTATTGTATTATGTATTGTAAACTTATAGATGAATAAATAAAAAGGTCTCCTACCCCCTGTAATTCGTCCCTTTGTGTGGTCGACGTTACACGTAGATCGCACGAGGGAGGGGGAGTGTTCGGAGGAGTGTGGTTCCCCTGACAGTGGTGGCGTTAGATAAAGAGAAGATGTTATTTGTGAGACCTTCGGACTTGGCCAACGTAGTCAAAGGCGTTATTCATGTATTCTCCTTCCGTCGTACCACCCATAACCTGCGATAAGGAACTTCTTTCAAAATTTTGAAATATTGTTGGAACTATTATTGTTCATTGTAAAATTCTTTACAAAAAAAATCGCTGAAATGTTTTTTCGAAGTTTTAGTTTTTTTACAATATGTTGAAGGAGGGCCAGCACAGAAAAATCGGAAAAGATATAAAAGAAACTATTTTTCGTTGTTGCTTTTCGAGCTGTACAAGATGGCATTTATAGATTTTCAATTTGACGGTTTGTCTCAGAGAAACCATCACCAATTTTAATACTGATTTGTATCTCTTTACGATTTTCCCCATGCTGGGCCTCCTTTTCTTGGACACATTGTATAATAAAGGCTCAGAAAATAATTCAATTGACTGCAATTTAATCAACTCCACTTGTGGTTGTGTATTTGATGTATTTCAAAATCTTTTATTCGGAGGTAAAATATCAATTTTTGGAAGTAAATATATTAAAGCATAATTACTCCGACAGTGATACAATGAATATTACTGGAGTTTTTTCCCAACACCAAATCGTTATTTTTAACACCTCAACACGTGTTTCGATCACCAAGTAATCATCTTCAAGAGGAAGATTAAACAGTTTCATCTTTCTCTTGAAGATGATCACTTGGGGATTGAAACACGTGTCGAGGCGTTAAAAATAACGGTTTGGTGTTGGGACTAAACTCCAGTAATATTCATTACTACACCAAAGGTTCCAAATAGTAAGTGATACAATGTCTTTTTTTTTTCAGTCGAAGGTGCAGATTTCTACTAAGGCACTCAGGCGCAGTTATGTAGAACGTAACAATAAGGCTCGTGAAGTAAATAATCGTAATCATCAACAAAGGCGTGGGGAACGGTCTCAGGGTGCTACCCGTTCCTGTGCCAATAACAACCGCAAGTGCTGAGCGCAATTAACACTGATCTCATTTTGCAACATTCGAGAAAACAAAAACAATGAATGATTGATCATATCATATTTTATTCCAGACTTTTTCTTATTAGCACTAGTAGTTGTATGATATTGTTAATTAAGAAGAAGGGAATATTGATTAAAAATCCCCTCTGACTGTAAATATAGATACATATTTTTTCAAAAGTCTGGAATGGAAGAGATACCTTCGAAAATGGCACGTGTGATTGATAAAATTCACCAAAGCACCGTGTTGTGTTCAATAAATTCAATATTTCTTATTTGTGAGTATTAGATGTTGCAAAAACATTATATTGTGTCTTTCAAATTATTTTTGTTCATTCACATTACAGCTATTAATCAAAACGGTGGTAATATGAATTATAACCATTTTAATTGAGTCCATTCGTTATTGTAATGTGAATAATTTCTGTACATACAGAGACATGATATATTTTTACTGATAACTTTAGTGAGATGATATATTTTGAAAAGTAATTTATTTATGTTGATTTATTTAAAGCAATCAGATTCATTTGAGCAGCCTTTTGATCACAAATAGATTAGGAATTCATTTTTATTTCATGTATATTCGTGATCATAAGAACTCGTATTACAACACAATTCACTCTGTGAGTTCTTAACAGTCTGTGATTTCTGAATTTCAATGAGAGATCCGTGACAATGACTTCTCATTACTTATTTGCTGATTTTTTTGAGTTTACTACAAGCTCTCGTAATCATACCATCCAAAATTTTACTGATAAAGTACAAAGAAAAAGTTGCATCATTTTTCATCGTCATTACCATTTCCCTGCAAAATTTCACTGTATATAGTTCTGTGAAATAACTTTTAGAATCAAGTATGGGCATTCCCTAGGTATATTGAGGTAGCTGTGTATTTTCAGGAAAAAAATTTTGCTCGAAAATAAAGAATTATTGGGAATACATTTCTTCAATGTAAAATGTTCTTTGAGAAGGCTATCTCAATATGCCCACATTCCAAATAGATATAAACATTACAGAGCATTTAGGAAAATGTATAGATTAGGCCAAGTGTGTTACCTATGCTGTTAGTTATCAAACGTCAATTTACTTTTATGAATTTCAAATCTGATTTTACAATGGCCATTACAACTTTCTTATGTTTTTCTCACTACAATAATTACATTACCTGATTTTGTTGAATCTGTTGATATTGTATGTAGTTTTATCGAAAACAACTTGCAGTGTTTGAAAATGTGTGTCCCTTATCTTCTAGCTTCTAGGCCACACTAAATTTGGGATGTTAAATTTCACTCTACTTCATTCAATATGTTATTCAAGTTAATGAGGAGGTAAGAAAGAATTAATGTACATTTCAAAGGATTTGTCATTATAGATGATTGAATTTTTAAAATTTTTCTAGTTTGGGATGTTCAATTTCAGATTTTATCGATACGGAAAGTAAATTATGTTTTGTTTTTATATATTTTACTTCAAAGTTAGATGAAGTAGTTAGTCTTAATCCATCGGAATGTTAATTACTGCAATGAAGCTTTTTTGCTTCTGCTCGGAAGATGTCTGACTTGTCCATTTATTCAGAGTTACTATAAAATACTGTAGCCTCAAGGGCTTGTTGCGTTTCTCCTGCATATTTTTTTTAGGACACCCCTTCCAACAATCTTATTATCTATACTAGTTTGTATGGATTCTCTTATTGGATGTTTTATCATATTCAAGTTGTCCATAAATTGCTTTCTTTCTGTTTTCCTGTGCTTCACATTCTCATTAAACATGAAGAGCTCTGTCCCCTTCTTGTATTTCCTGTAGCCAAGATCTCCATGAATGGACAGTTTCCAACAATTAGCACTGTAATTATTCTAAACTGATATTTGCTTTGACAAAGCTTTCTTCTCAGACCTTCATGTAAGTTTGCCCATATGTATGTTCCAGGGTACATTTCCCCACCACTCTATTGATACCCATTGAAATCTTGTTTATTACAATAATGAAATTATAGATAAATATTTTATTGACTACTTTTACAGAAAACAGTAGTATGTCACTGAAACGTAAATCAGTATTTGTATAGGACAAAATAAAAACCAACTAACATGACTCATGTTAAGCAAAGGTGCAATTTTGAACAGGAAGTAAATATTCTGAAACTGCATCTAAGCGAGATTTCAAATATTTTTTATGATTAAAATATATGATCTGTAATCTTGAAACTGTATTCAACGAATAGATGCCCTATTAGTATAATTTACTACTAAGATTTTCCTTTGCTTTTCTATGTCACCCATCACCATTCATGGATCAAAAATCATAGTGTAGATTTAAGTGTATTTCTATTTTATTGAGTATATGTGTGTATCAAAGTATCGATTAGATGTAAGAAAAACAATCCCTCATTTTTACGTTTCACATTTGATTGTAACAAATTCGTTTGATTTTGATAAGTATTTTTCCAAGTACATAATGTCTCGTTGATTGAACGACAGTATGTCTGTAATTTTTAAGTTTGTATGTTAGGTATATTTGCTTGATTACATGTGAACTGTCTGGTAAGTTAACAGAATGTGTATGCAGCACTTGTAGTTATAGTAGTTCAACTGTGTATGAATAGCATGTTCTAACGAGTCTGTAAAAAATATTGTGTGCAAGTACGAAAGAAAATGTTATAAAAAATTGAAAACAATAAAATCCTATTGCGTTACTTTTTTTTTATTTCCCAAAATGCCATGATATATCTTTGAACTCCCCGATTTCTCAATACAAAAGGACTTTCTCGTCACAAAGGAATAAATGGGAATGTAAGTTTCTTTGTTAGAGTTTCACAAGAAAACTACTCAACCGATCATCATGAAATTTTGTACGCATGTTCTTGGAGGTATTAGAAGTAAAGTAGGATACTTTTTATTGAAAAAAAATGTTTATGTAAGATACAAAAATTGAAAATTATTTTTGTTACAGTGAAATATACTTTAACATTTTTGAATTGAAGGGGTTATATTTCAAGGAGTGATTCATTTTTGGGAAAGAAAGTTTTTGGCTTTCTACTATTCCATCCTGATACAAAAAAAAAATGCGGGAATCTTCCAAAACACTTGACGTAGGGCTCTTCAGCACCAATCTGGATAACATAGAAAATACATACAATTCATTTATGAATTACGATTTTTTATGTCACGGAATGAGTTTGATCTACTTATGTCATCGATGACATCGTAATGACAAAAAAATTCAAAAGACTCAAAAACAACAACAATCTACTAGTCAACAACCAGTTTTACTAGTATTATATAAGGGGTAGAAATGACTCACATCTGAGCATGGTAAGAATGAGCAAAGGATTATACAATCCTTTTACACAGGCTGTGAAAGTCTTCAATGAATTACCTGTCCTTATACGTGAGTTGTCGGGCTATAGTTCATTCATCAATAGTTTAAAAGAACATCCGAGCCTCGAGGCACATGTCTGATACATTACTTCTATGAGCTTTGTAGTGGTTTTCTAGTTTTCATGTTTCACTTGTCACGTTGAATCTTTGTGAATCCCAAGACCAGCATTTTTGCTGATTAGAGAGAATAACAACATATTTTATATTTATAGTGTCCTAACTGTGTTGAACTGTACTCAGTTCTTATATTCTTAATAAAAAAAATTGTTATTAAGCCCATAGTAGTAGCGAATGGTCTCTCAGACCATGTCGACACTCATATTTATGATTTTTAGGAAACTTGCTCTGAAAATGATCAACAATCGTGTTGCTGGAGATTAAATCCATTTGGAAAAACGTTTTCAGGAAGTTTATTCCACATAAACGTAGTTCTCTGAATGAAAGAGTTCTTGAACATAGAAGTGCGAGGTGTACTGAGTTGAACCTCAAAATGATGAGCAGCCACAGTCCGTCGCCACTGGCTCTGTGGTTGGATGGAATCCAGCAGCTTCAAGGTATGCTTGGGGACGGAGCTCCATACATGAGAACAGTACGCCAAAAAAGGTCTGATCTGAGCTTTATAAAGCATGCAATTATAAAAGACTCTTATTTTGAAATATAAATGAATAGATTATTGAAGTCCGGTCTGATAGACCAGCGCGACAGACGGCTTCATGAAAGTTATTTAATTATTCAATTTACCTGAAGAATATATCATTGGCAATCAGGAAAAACTGAATTTTCAATAGGTCAGTTGTGTAGCCCATACCAAAGCAATTGTGAGAGAATGATTAGGTACGAAGTTTCCGAATAAATGGATTGGAAAGTTCAGACCAATTCACTAATATTCCACAAACCCATAAGGAACATTTGAAACAAATGGTTTATGAAATTGATTTTACTTGTGGAAGAGAAATGTTGGAAAATAAAATGCAATACCAGTTAACACCTCTACCAATTTTAGAAATGAGAAATGATTCTCAATTTCAGAGGTAGACTAGAAGTGATGAAAAGAGAAATGAAAATTTCTATGTTTTTTTCTCTTTTCATCATGATCTCCTACCACGTAGTAACAGCTACATCCATCAATTTATAAACTAGAAGTGTCTACTGGAATTGGTGGAGTTATTTTTGAAAGATATGTACTTTTATGTATTGTACTGAAAAAAGTTACATTATTCTAATGAAATATTTTGGATGGAGCAGACTTTTTCATCAGAAAATATTTTTTCGTAAATTGAAGATTAAAAGAGATTTTTCACTTAGCATCTCTCTGTTTTTTATCTTGGCCTGAGATGAAAGACAGAGGTTACATGTTTTGACGCAACCAACTGATCTTCAACCTTTCCCGTTTCAGTACATGTTCACATTCATTTATTGTATCATTATGGGAATAAAGACCTATTATTATTATTATTATTATTGAAACATATTCATGATTCTAGAGGTTATAACATCAAGAACACACATTTTCCTTATATGGATTTATTACAATTTTAAACTTCACCAGTGACAATACTATTTATTTGTGGAAGTCCTATTCTGAGGTTTCAATAATTTTAGTATGTAGGTTACCTGAACTAATTGTTCATTCATTGTAATTTCCATCCTAAAGGATAACTAGATTATTGGAAACCAAAAAAGAATATGATAGTAAAATGCATTTGATATATTGTGTATCAAAGAAAACATGTATCACAGCAAAAATTTTCCATTTATCAAAATTTGAACTATTTGCTATTGTATGTTATTGTGTGCTACCAGAAAATACATACAGACTAGAAAAATTGAATAAAGGAGATGGAGAACATTGTATGAGTACCTTTGCACATATTTCATAAATGAAAATTTATAAAAACTACGATGAAGCAGACAAATCAGAGAAAGTAGGTATAGAGGAAACAGAGTTCTCGTATAAGAATTGTTATCTGAGGAGTGTTTCAGAAACAGCTCGAGTGATGAAGACTGAAATCCTACCACTAGTAAAAAATACGAAATGATCAAGAAGGAAAGGCTAAAATTAAATGAGAAGAAGCCAGCAAAATTTTACAACAACTATGCTTCAGGGCAAACATACTGCAGAACAGCTAAATGATATGAATGTATAACATCCTGTATTTACCTATTTTGGGTTGTAGTGGACTTCATGAAGGGAAGATGGCAGGTATTCGGGGCTAAGGAAAACGAGGAAGTGAGGTTATTGTTATATCTTTGTTTTAAATTAATTGTAAATTACTATAATTCTAAAGTTATTTATTGTAAGCTGATGTTGATAAATCGTTTCAGTTGCAAGGGATTATAATTCTTGAAGCCAATCTTGGGAAATATATTGGTTATTCACAAATATTTTCAATAAGAATATGTATTATTTTATTATTTAGGTATTACCAACCTGAGACGTGAAAGTTGACTGTGATAAGTGGTTACAAATTGGATTAAGCAGACTGAAGAGATAGGATCCAAAGATATAATAGAAACCCCTTTAAAAAAATGATAACTCCGTCACTGAAAGGGTCGAGGCCTTAATTATCTTTTTTATTTGATAGAGTCCATTACAAGTGTTTGTTAAATCCAAGAAAATTATGAACTCACCATTAAAGCTATATAATAGATTATTTCGTCGAAAATGTTCTATAATTGGAATGATTCACGTGCCGGCTCTCCCAGGTACTCCTATAGATCACTTTACACTATATTTTTAATCCCTAAACGATATGCCTACTAATATCTGCATGCAAATAGCCACTGGGATCTGGATATATGTACATTTATTTAAATACAAATTACATGACAATTAAGTGGAATATATGGATTGCCTGACATGTGACACTGCTTATTGGTTATGCTAATTATTCAGGTGCTATGGTCCAACTAAAATCCACGTAAATCGTACAAAGTTTACTTCTTTGTTTTCGCATTATCAGAAACTCTAAATAAAAAATTATTAGACTGATATAAAAAAGTTTAAAGAATTGTCGCGATTGCAACATACTAAAATACATATCCATCAGTTTGTTTTTTTCTAATATTGTCAGGTGACAATATTAGATATACAAAAACAATTTGAAAGTGAGGGAATTACGCCTGTCACTTTATGTAAGGTAAATTAGTACTATACCAATGGTGTACTCTACTGTAATGAATTGATATGTAATCCCATATGTCGATTAACATCAACAAAGAAAAAACAACCTTCCCCTCTGAAGATAGATACTATCTACCTAAAGAATAGCGTAAAAAGGCAAACTTTATTACTAGAAATTTATTTCAGGTTTTATTATATCTAGGTATATGAAGTTTCATTTGTAAATACTATTATAAAATGTGCCCATACCATCGAATATACCAAGATGCTTGGAGCCCTCCCTATGTAAAATATTTTGACGAAAAGACTCGACCTACGGCATTCTTGATTCTTCATAGAAAGTATGCCGTACTTATCTATAGACAAATGCTTCGGCATCTTCGACATTACATTCTCAGAGGCGAAAAGCCCACGCCATTACGCCAATGTTTACATTTGAAAACGATTTTTTTTTCATCTATCAAAGTTGGTTCAATGTCATGTTTCGTGCCGGTAATTTATGACAAAACAAAAGCGATAACATCAAGGTTTCTATGCTTCTTTCCCCATATCCACAGTACAATATAACAACTGTGGCACAGTATTTCAGCATGATACTTGTTATTTGTGATTGTGGTACAAGGACACAAACCGTTCATCTGATATACTCACAGAACTCATAATTATATCTTACGACTAGAACGCGTTTGAAATATGATGGATTGACAAATCCTATAAATCGCTGAAACACTGTAATGATTCATTCACAGTGGCGGCAGGAAAAATGGGTAATATTATCCTAGTTATGCATTTTCTTTCCTCTTGTCTTGGAATTAACACATTTTTTAACGAAATATTTCGATATTTACGATAGATGGAAAATATTTCATAATGAGCTTATGTTGCGACCTCTTTGCATACTTTCAAAGCAAAACTTTGGTGAAACCTTTGTATATACTTATACAAAAGTGAAACTTATTCTTCAAATTATTAAAATCATTTTTATATCCGTATTTATTACTACCACGATCATTAATTAATTGACTCAACCAATATGGATGTTTTTTTCACAAGCTAACTCAGATTTAAAAGAATAAACAAAATCGATTCGGAATTGACAGAGATATTGAAATTTTTTCAAAGGTCTTTGAAATCGGGTTTTTTGCGAAAAACTTTACAGCATCATACAGTTCAAATATTCCACTAGTTTTCGTAAAAAATCAGTCCTCAACAAAGGGGTGCCGAATTTTGAAAAAAATCTCGGCTCCTGATCGAGCTGGAACATTCTTTTTTTTTTGAAATGTGTGAGATTTTGCTAGACAGAAGTATCTGTTGGTGGCAACTCGATATTGTGAAAATTTGCGATGTGCAAAAAACACGCTCTGAAAATAACACATTTTTTTTAGGTCCATTTTGGGGGCTACAAAATTTTAAAAAATAATGCACCGCGTTGAAGACCCTACAATTTAGGATGTTTGGAGGACTCAATTTCAACGATACGTTTTGCTGTTTATTTGCGAACATTCGCAATATCTGGCATGGAAATGATTACAGTGAAATGATAAACTGTAATAAATACAAAGAAATATGGGAATTGACCTTCAAACTTTACTAAAGTTTTTATAATAGGTGTATTTTGATCGTATTAATCTCATTCCAGATCTGCCGTTTCCGTCAAGTTATTCGTCATTTCTGCTCGATAAAAACATGTGGAGCAGATAATATTTTTTGGAGGGAATGGCTCAATGTGGAATAATATTAGTAAAAACAAAACGTATTGTATATTCCCGAAAGAGATTGTAGCATGATAAAAAATCCATGCTCATATATAATAGACAATGGAAGTCCGAACTAGTGAAATTCATCACGAAACATTGTCAATCACCTTCAAACAAATTCTCTTCCTGTTTATGAAAAAAATAATATACTAAAAATTGATGAATTTTCATCGTAAAACTAGAGAGAAAATCAACTATTATGATAAAAAAACTAGGTATTTATAATTTGATTCCCAGTTCGACCGTCTAAGGGCAAATCAAATAAATTTCAAAGCATCATAACAATGAAGTAATAAAAGATTCAAGTTAATTTCAATGGAGTTATCTCTGTTGAAACAGTGCTTAAAACAGTAGCCTTTGAATAGATTTTCAGTCAGTCTAAGATTAATCTAGAACCCAATATTATGATTATTTGGGTGATTACCTTATGAATAAGTATTGCATATTTGACTTATCTTGATAATTCATTTTGTCAGAAGAATCAAAAAACCTTTTCTGTCTTATGGTTTGATCCAATTAGTAACTGAACTCACTCAAGTTACAAATGATTCTGAAACTTTGACTTTATCCTCTATTTCATTTTTAATTTATCCGTCTAGGTGCATGCAGCACCTAATATATTTTATCATCGAGTCCCAGGCACTTTGCTGTATGGGTCGGATCTTTCATACACTGATGAGAGGTAATACCTCGAAACCGGTTTGTAGGTGATCTACTCGCATAATTTCAGCATGGTCCTGCTGCTGCTGAAAGAAATATCTACGAGATTAACCTCTGTGAGGTATCTTACATAGATGCCTGCCACATATAAATCGATATCTATGTGTGGTATTAGCCGGGAAAGTAGTTGTTTTCTGGCAGGCATTTACCAGAACCTACTGTGTAGGTAGTTCGTAGAGGTGAATATATCGAGATTTTATTTGGAAATATTCACTTTCTTATAAGAATTCTGAAGAAGCTAATACCTTTGACAATTTTGTCTCTAGAATACAGTCAATAAATAACAATATGAACAACCTAAATTGAAGTAGTTCTAATCACAACCTATACTCTCACTTTCCTAATTTTAATTTATTAGGTAATTACTTCTGACTTAACTGTTTAACTCTTTGGATAATAAATGTAACTAGCATGACATTTGAATGTCAAAATACCTGAAAGTAAAACTGAAACTATTGCTCGTTTTTCTTAATTTTATAAAAACATCGTTATGTAGTGACTGATAGGATTCCTGATGCATTAAAGTTAGCGTAAGTATCCCTATTCAAGAAGTGGCAGGTACTATTATAGCAACTGCATAATATACTGACGGTGTTCCCCAAGGGAGTGCTTTAGGTCCCCTGTTTTTATATATTATATATCCATACATTAAATTGTTTATTGATTCTAGTGCAAGAGCCTCATATAATTTCAATTTAATTAAATCAGCGCAACTACAAAAACTTCGAAATCGATGAACACGAATAATTCTAAGATGCTATCGTTGTACACCTCTCGATAGTATGTAAACAGTGCGAGAGAATTCAAAAGAAAATGGAGAAAACTGAATTCTAGACTTCACGAAATCAGTCGATTCTGATAACTAGCACTACAAAAAATGTATTAAAAAATCATAATACCTACGTGAAAATTTTGTTTTTTTTTGGTCCATTGAAAAAATATTCGTTTACAGGAAGTCCCTTATTTTCTGGTTCCATTGATAGAATTGTGTCTAAAGCTTGTCAAGAAACCGAGATATACCTCAAAAATGATATTGTAAGTTCTCCACTCAAACTTTTCAGTTTGTTTATGTTTAAATTTGTTAATTCTATTTCAGGACGGGCTGATAGTTGAGAATATGCACGACATTCCGTACATACAGTCCAAACATTTTGGTCCAGAAGTAACAGCTACATTAACGAGAATATGCTCTGAACTAAGAAAAATCATTCCCAATACTACACCATTTGGAATTCAGGTATATATTAGTTACTAATCAGGTTATTAAATTCAAAAGGGCAATAATCGTAGGCGAAGAATGGATCTAACCTTTTTTTTGAAGGAAAGAAAATTTGATTATAGAAGTACTTGCGATTTTTTTAAAAACTGTCATGTGTAAGTACTTAATAGTTTCTTTGTCATCTGGAAACTATAGATGCTGCTTATATTTTGATAGGGCTTTAGAACTGAAATAATTAATCCTTGTATTGCCGGGTGCTATTTCTAAGCAGACTGGTTCATTCACCATATAATATTGGTATTTTCTTTTGTATCACTTTATCTTCCTGAAGTTATCAATACATGTATTTTCTAGAACGAACTGTGCATCACAATTATAGAACCTCACTCTGTGGATCTGAATATATTCTGTACTGAATGAGCTTTTTTTTCTATGTGATGTATTTTTATGGTTGGAAAAATTCTCTATTATATAGTGGTTCAATCAAATTTTTGTTGTAACAAATGTTTTTGCAGGTTTTATCAGGTGGGAACAAGGAAGCACTAGCCATAGCAAAAGCATGTTCTATGAACTTCATTAGAGCCGAGGGATACGTTTTCAGTCACATAGGTGATGAAGGCTTTACAGATGCAAATGCGGGAGTGTTACTGAGATACAGAAAACAAATAGAAGCAGAAAATGTTTTGGTATTCACCGATATCAAGAAAAAACACAGGCAAGTTCCTAAGAAGAAATCATACAAAATGCCTCATATATGTGTCAATAACATTTTTCAATTTTATTCAACCAATCTTCATCTGCGGATGCTTTAGGGCAGCAGCCCCGCCTACTCTCACTCAGTTATTATTCATATCCGTTATGTTTGCCCCTTAGATGTAAGGGACCATAGATTTAAGATCCGAGTTACAAACGACCTTCACCCATCTACTCAATAGATGGAAAAGTATTTTACATGAAGATTGGTAAGTTAAAAAATAAATAGCGAATGTTTTGAGAATATTTGTTTATTGCACAAATTTTATACCAATCAAGAGAATATACCAATGTTGGGTTGGCTATTATTTCGTGGCGTAACTATTGGGTTGAGTATAACCAGGTAAGTCAATACCTGTCTGTTCAATAAATCAATATATATCAAAATGAGTGCTGCTTTATCACAAACGCGATGATATAAGGTTGCTTATGAAAAATTTGAACAATGGCTAGCGAACTTGTGACAAAGAATTTCAAGAGACCAGTAAATACTCAGAATTATTTTGTATCATCAAAAATAATTGAAGTAATTATCAAAGACAGAATAACGAGCTTTTTGGAAAACAGAAAACATCTCGATGACCACCAATATGGATTTCGGTCGCTCAGATCAACTTCACAAGCTGTTACTGAGATAGTTCACTCAATAGCAAAAAATCTATGAGTAGGGATACATACATGTGCAATCTTATGCGACTTGTCGAAAGTCTTCGACAGAGTATCACATGGCATCCTATTAGAAAGCTCCATAAATACGGGATACATGGACCAGCTCTTCGACTCATTGAAACATTCATTATGAACAGAAAATAATACATATCCTACAATAATGTGACTTCCAGGACCATACAAATCAAACATGTTGTGCCTCAGGGTTCAGTCCTGGGGCCACTGTTGTTTATAATCTTTATGAATGATCTGCCAACCTTCTTAGAAATCGCAGATGTATTTATGTACGGAGACGACTCAACTTTCTTAATCAGAAGCAGGAATTTAAAAGAGATCGATAGAATTTCAGGTGAGACACTGTCACAAGGTGAAGTTTATTTCAACGCAAATATTTTATCCTTGAATAAAAACAAAACTAAAGAAATAACTTTCTCAAAAAATACAGCAGATGATTCATCAGTCAAAATACTAGGATTTCACATAAATTCCAACCTGAAGTGGAATGAACACTACGTATACTACGGTATGGTTAACTGCCACTACGGGAAGTAAAATTATTCAAAGAAATATTAAAAAGCTAACGTATGTCGAAAATTACAAAAACCATTCAAAAAGGTGGTGAACTACTCTTACTGTCAGCCAAGAATAAAATACAATTTTTCATTATTTCTCGATTGTTTCAAAGGTTTATTTTGTTAAAAAATACGTTTCCTAACCCGAAAATGTCAAACTATTGACATATTCGATAGGAAATTTGATTCTCAACAAAAAATAGTATTCATATTAAAATGATGTTGAGTATCATCATAGGCCTGCATTTTAAAATGTTTGGAACTGTCAGCATCCCACAAACATCCCTGAATTCTGTAAAATGTATTTTCATGATTCAAAAACTCTGTTAAATTTTTTGTAAACCCATACCACAATACCCCATAAAATGTATTTCATGAATAATTATCTCGAAGGCTTCGGAGTAATTTAAGCTACTGAAGCTATGACATGTCACTACCTGTATTTCGGACAATGTTATGTAACCTGTGTCAACCAGGAAAATGTACTAGGTATAGTAGGGATCCTGAAGTCCTTCTGACATTACAGTGAAATAGTGAACCTGTTTACTTATGTGTTTGTGCACACCTTTATAAAATTATTTTGAAAGTGCCAGAAGAATATTGGCAGACCAGACCTAAAAATGTACCCCTTTCAATTCAATCAATAAAATTCTAGATTTTTTTGAGACTAAACAGTCTCAAGGAAATCTAGAAGATACCTTGGATGTACCGATTACTGAAAAATTGATTTATCAAAAAATCTCATAAAATATTCATTGCCTGACTTTACATAAATGAAAATCACATTTGCCAATGTTGTAGTTATTGCTTGCCATGGAACTATAAAATGTTTGTTTTCCCCCCCTCTCTCTTTTTCATCAATTTTCATTATTGTTTCAGTTCACATGCAATAACAGGAGATATTTCGCTTGTTGACACTGCTAAGGCAGCAGAGTTTTTCCTTTCTGACGGGGTTATCCTTACAGGAACAGCTACAGGTGAGCCTGCCGATGCTCAAGAATTGCAACAACTGAAAAATAGCACAACGTTGCCAGTACTCGTTGGATCCGGAATTACCTATGATAACCTGGAGAATTACACCTCAGCAGATGGTCTCATAATCGGATCCTACTTCAAAAAAGACGGGCGATGGTTTAATGAAGTGGACGAAAACAGGATAAAAATGTTTATGATGAAAATTGCAACAATTAAAAATTGATAAAAATATATTCATAGAATTTGTTTGACATACATCTACAACATATAAAATTTCTAAATTGAAAGTCTTACATGTTTCTCAATGGAATCATCATCACAAGTCGAGTTTTTTCCTTGTTAAAGAAATTATACAATAAAAATATTTGAGAATCTTGAAATTATAATCATGAAATTCAATTCATTGAATTCATATAGAAATAGCTTTGACTTTATTTTGGGAGGAATAACTTACCGATACAGCATCAACATTTTTGAAGTCTATATACTGTTTTTATAGCTTATAATCCACATATAATGAAAATTATTTTGAGAAAAAAGGTTGCTTTGAAAATGAAACCCGAGTGGTACATTGTTTGGTATCTCAAATTTAAATTTTCAGTATCTTTTTCATTACGTGATAATACACAAAAACACTACTTCCAGAGAGCTATAAACTGAGTTAAAATGTTCAATTGAACTCAAAAGTACACTTTTTACAATTGATTCACTGTAAATTAACAGCTGTGCTATTATACTAATTGAATTGAATGTAAGCAATCTATTTTATTGCATATTTTAGTTATGCATCAAAGGTTCCTATAAATTATAATTATTTTTTACACCTTCTTTATTGATTTCCCTCTTAACCATTGGTTGAGATAACACTCAACATGATTCAGTGAATGACATATTTACATGTTGCATCAAAGTAAAAACAGCAAATGAATCATATTTGGTCTACCTGTTTTAGTTACCAATTAATACCTGGAAGATATATATTGATAACTAATTTCTTCCATGACAAAACTTGAAACCTATATCAAATTGAAAGTGAAATGCGAACAAAATAAATTGTTATCAATTACAAATTTTGTAAAGTTTTTCACTGTTTTACCGAGCAGTTCAATACAGCTATTTTTTTAAACCAAGCAATCTTTTTATGGAAGTTCTAACTCCTCCTAAAAACTCGCCAACTTTAACGCCAAAGTCACTGGTATTTGATCTTCCGAACACAAATACTTCTTTTGATAACTCAGGAGTTCTGGAAACTTCTACAGCTTGACTGTTCACGGGTTTTATTGAATTTCCACCGTCAGTACAGTTCTCATCCAATTGACACTTACTGGAAACGGCTGTTCCTAAAAGTAACCTATCCAAAGGTCTTCTTTTAGACAAATAAGCAGGTCTGCTATACTCTGGTTCATATTCCTAGAATATAAAACATACATGATTATCCAATCATTATACAAGAAATATAATGATCTGAAGCTGGTGCGTACTAGCTCAATGCGTACCTAGAGATTATACCATAAAAACACACAAACAAATTTAGAACAAAATTTTATTGATAAAGTTAGCCTCCCGAGAAAAAGATTTTGAATGATTTGTTTTTTCATAAAAATTCAATGCCTGAAAACATTCTTCCTCATTTTTTAAAATGAAACTGAAATTAATTTCATTTCATTATCGATCCTGAGTAAACCTAGTTGATGATGTAAACTTGTTTGTTGATAATTTTACCAAGGAGGTTTTCAATATATGATTACATTTTTGTTCAACAATGAAACTGAAATTAATTTCACTTCATTATCGATCCTGAGTAAACCTAGTTGATGATGTAAACTTGTTTGTTGATAATTTTACCAAGGAGGTTTTCAATATATGATTACATTTTTGTTCAACAACAGTGCTATGAAAGGTAGAACTGGGACCTCTGGCGTATAATAAATCCAAAACAAGCACTGTTCCTAAATACCAGAACTGTGACACACTTTTCGAGTGGACTCGCCATCTTCATCTTTTCAAGATGCCAACTTGGTTGGCAGAAGGCGAGTCAAAAATAGTGTTGCAGTTCTGGTAATTGGTAACAGTTTTGGTTTTGAACAGTCTTTATGTTATCATGATTGCTGATGCATAAATCTATTTTTTAAATTCCCAAAAGGGCTCACCATCTAAATATTTATTGATTGGTCACAAATTTATCTTGATTTTCATGGAGAAGTTCAGTGTTAAATATAATTCTATTTTTGTTATAAAGAGCTTTTTAAGGAGAAATCATATAATAAAATACTGAAAAAACTAAGGAAAAACTGTTTCTCAAGTTGCGACTCACCCAGAATTAGAAAAATAAGATTATGATCAAATTAATATACGATGATGAAAATACAATATTTTAAAAATATCTTCACAATGAAACAGAGTTTTCACTGAAACTGAGGTAGGTTGAATAGGTCAACATTTTGACGTTATTTTTGACATAACTACTAAACCGCTCAGTACAAACCCATATAAATATACTTTTTGAAAGGACTTTTCTGACAAAATTTAAATATGGAAAGCAATATATTTCATTCCAGTTAAACAACCTAACTTTGAAACGCCAGGCTTCCACTGGATACCCTGTATACTGGAGAATATTTCAAAAGCCTAATGCTTGCTGAAAATCCATAACTAACATATTGAAAAAACACTTTATTGTGAGATTTTCACTGAACGATTTTACAAATACGCAAAACGTGTTTCGCCATACAATAGCTTCTTCGGGTGTGTAAAGACACGCCAAAGGAACCATTGTATGGCGAAACATAAGTTGTGTTCTTGTAAAATCGTTTAGTGAAAATCTCACAAAAAAGCCTAATGCATTGATATTTAAAATTCTTATATTTAACATTTTTTGTTATAATTCACCCAAACTCCTCACTCCTTCATCTCAAACTCCCAATGAAAGATCGATGTGACATACTGTATATTAATTTGAAATACAAGAGAAAACTGCTTTTTGGCTTTCTACTTTTCCAACATTCAACAAAAAATGTTTCTCACAGTTTTTCTTTAATGACGGAAAAGAACAAAGCCAGATATCTTCCTTCTCAAAAACAATCTCTCCTAATAATATTTCATTTTCAATTCAAACTAAACTAATTACCAGTTTCCTTTTTTTCAACGGTTTTCCAGGACTAACACCAACTTCGTTATATTCGTGCATATCTTTTCTTTTCACCGGCCTTCTGGAAGAACTGTCTTTTCTCAAAGTTTTCCTATCATTCAAGTGATTCTTGACGCAATTTTTTATTTTCTCAATCCAACTCTTTGTTTCACTAAACTGATCGTGATACAGAATGAGCTCTTCCTCCTGACAATTTAACCTCATACAACCTTTGTCCAAGACCTCAAAAACTTGACACTTGCTTAGAGGAAATATGCTTAAACATTTCAAAGAGTTGACTTTGGGCTCATCTTTTTTCATTTTAGTGAATAGAATTATATCATTCATTAGAACAGTATACAGCTTTTCACTAGGGGTATTTTTTGTAGACATTTTGACTAATATGCCTTCTTTTATCAATGTTCTTCCTGGTTTAACTATAATTGGTTCACCACTTCTCAAGAACCTTTGTAGTTCAAGCAATCTCTGCATGTTTTCTTGGTCCTCAACGATTTTATTGATGTGATCTGCAGCATCGTTAATTTTTTCCAAACATTCTGAAATAATGTAAGTCCTTAGTAGAAATTCAAACAAGTTCAGCCAATTAATACTAACCTGTTAAGTTGTCATAATCTTTTTCAGTAGGCTTTGTCAATCTGTGCAATTGTGTCAGCAAGAGCTTATACCTTGGGACCCTTTGAATTGGTGTAATCAGAAGAGCTGACAATTTATTTTGAACTTCAGGTCGTGATTCTTGACTTTCGACAAATTTTGCAAATTGTGGATTTAGAGATCTTGCATTCTGCAATGATACAAGTTAACTTAAAGGAGAAGTTTCTAAGCTGCAGAAATATCTCGAGTAATCGACCATATCGATATAATAACTATATTTTTGAATGGAAGTTTGGAGGAGATATCTATATAATATAGAGCAACCTCCAGGATTTTTTTTCACAACAAAATGTATAATTGAGGTATACACATTTGAGAAGGTAATATTTGGGGTTAGAGCAATCAACTAGATCTTGGAACAGTAATATTAATAATTGTTGCTGAAAACTCGTTTTAGTAGATGCTCATATGATCTTTGCACATACGAGAAATATGAGTTAACAAATTGATCATTATTGCTCTTTATGTGGACGATTTCTGTTTTCCAACAATGAAATGGAAACCAACAGGTTAAAGGCACATAGTGAAAAACATAAAAGTTTTGAAATACAATGACAATCAGGAAGCTGACAAGTTGGTTTACACTGTGATTTTCTATGATGCAACAAAACACATATGAAACAGATATCCTTGTGTGAGAGAACTGGCCAAGAATGAGGAAATATCAGTAGAATATCTAGCCACCGAAGAAATGCCACCTTATATTTTAACGTTATTCAAGATGAAGCAATTGTTCTGCACTCATAAGATTGGACTCAAAGAAATGGGATATATTACAATAAATTTCATTTTGATATTACTGGAGTTTCTTCCCAACACCAAATTGTTATTTTTAACAACTCGACACGTGTTTCGATCACCAAGTAATCCTAAGATTAAACTGTTTGAACAGTTTAATCTTCCTCTTGAAGATGATCACTTGGTGATCGAAACACTTGTCGAGGTGTTGAAAATAACGATTTGGTGGTTCCAAACAGTGTATCACAAGTACATTTCGTTTTATTTGATATGTGTTAGATTGTCATGTATTTTCAAATATTTATAATCTTATTCCACTTTGAATTAAAAAAAAAAATTGGTTTGGATTTTAAATCTTAAAAGACAGAAGGGGTTTAGTTCATTTCAAAGTTTTTCTTCTTTTCACAACATGTGAATTAACGCTTATTTTTAAGAAATGGTTCAACTATTAATTCAATTTTTGAGAAAGAAAGGTTTTGGCTTTCTACCTCTCCATTTTGATATAAAAAATGTGGAAATTGAGTATTTTTTTTATAATATTATCCGTATTTGGTACTGAAGAGCCGATAAGACAAGTATCTTACGACAAAACATCGGATGTCTACCAGTGACGATGAGAGTGTTTCATATAAGCGAAATGTTACTTCTTTCATTTATAATGTTGTGTAGGAATCCTGTGAATGATATCTGATTCAATTCCATAACCATAAGAATGTTTGGAATACAAACGGAATAGAGAAAAGTGTTTTTCAAATATTTTTTGTATCAAGCTAGAGAAGTAGAAAGCCAAAACCTTTCTTTCCCAAACATTAATCTCTCCGAAAAATATACCCTTTCAGTTTATTAATTCAATGTAATATAAATATTCCTTGGAGACATCAATTCACTGTTTGAACCGTGACAAGTAGTTATGGAAAATAGTAAAACAGAGAGGAGACAAATTGTTTCCAATAAATGATGTTATTTGAATTTGTTGTTATAACTGCTCAATTGTTTCATCATCGGAAATGTCTCTATCTTGTTTACCATCACTAGCTTTTCCCTTCAGAAAATATTCAAAATCTCATTTGTTGTCACTGGAAATATCTTCACTTTCAACTTCATTAAAAAAATCCATTTAAAATGTGTTGAAGTATATTATATTCATTCCACTTTCAGATGTATAATTAAGAATGTTACTTTCAGAATCTGTGAAAATCTGATAAGCAATAAAAAAAATCACAAATACTTGTGGAAGTTCGTCAGACCCACAAGCTCAATATCTCAGAAATAAAATACCACTGTTCACGTTGTAACTCAAGAGAGTTAGAGTAGAACTGGATTAATGGAATCTTAAGTAGTCCATTACTGATATATAAAAAAAAAATCATTGCAAGGATATGTGAGCCTGAATGCAAGGATATGTGAGACTGAATGCAAGTAATAGAAGGTTAAAAGTATGTATTCAAGATACTAATCTAGGGCTTCTTAGCTTCATTTTATATCTACCAATCTGTTCCTTAAAATTATTCAAAAAACAAATAAACTTACCTGTAGAATGTTCAAGATGTTCTTGAATTCATATGCATATACTGAATACAATTTCAAAAATGGGCCAATTTTGGTAAAGGCTCTAGCTACATTATCAACACCCACATTAAGTTCCTCCAGAAGTTCTTTGTTAACATTATAAATGGTACCAATATTACCAAAAAGCACTTGAAAATCATCTGCTCTCAGAAGTTTTTGTTCTTTTGTTGGTTTCATGAAAAAGTTCATAATAATTTCTAGCTGATGAACATACTTAATTTCACTATTAATAATTTCAAGTATAGACTTTTCCTTTTTGAAATTTCTACTCTCTTCTTCACTCCTTGATTTTATCTCGTCGAGAGCTTCGAAAACTCGTTTTCTCGTTTTTGTTGTTAGAATATTTCGTTCATTTATTATTTTCTTCAGTTCCTGACTGAATTCCATGTTAGCTTGTGGTGTGGCAGGTTCTAATATATAATCATTTGCAGCAGCTTTTGCGGATGATACGTTTTTATCATTATACTTACTTTTTTCTTTATTTTCAATGACTGTTCGATTTTTAGCTAGAATAGTTGAATTCAATTGTTCTAGGTTAACAGAACAAGGCCTAGTATTTACTATTTGCTGAATAGATTTTTTAGGCGTTTCCATTGATTCCTATTTTCTTCACAGATAACCAATTACTTTTAAAAATTACTGGAACCATTAATTCCATATATTTTCAAATAGGTCAGTATTAACGAGGAAACACAAACAGTAACAATGAAAAATTGATTTTTTTTTTAGTTCCAATAATTTTAGCTTGTATAACTACACATGACTATATTACCTTAACCGACTGTTACGTTTGAAATGTTTGTGTTCTTTTCTCATTTCAGTGTTGTCTCGGGGTTTTAAGAAGTTTGACGAAGTTACTATGTCAAACTGTGAAATGTAAAATGGCGGGATATTTAAAAAAATATATTTATCAAAAACTTTAAATTATTGACAATTTGTGAAATTTGTTATTGAAATTTTTTAATTTGCACTAGGTACTTGAAGTATACACTACTTAATATTTCAAAAACACAAATGACTTTTGTGTGAAAAAATTTCACAATTTATGCAAGTAAATTTGTCAATAATTTCAGGTTGTTGATAAATATATCTTTTTTCAAATTTTCCGCCATTTTACGAAGTTTCACAGTTTGACTTGTAGTTTCATGAAACTTCTTAAAACAAGACAACTTAACGAGACAACACTGAACTGTTGTCAGTGTTCTGTATTCCACGTTTGTCGTTCTTAATATTGCGAGTATTTTCAAAGCTATTGCAATCACTACATCGATTTAAGACTGTATACGACACTAGGAGAAATTATTTTTATTTTTATAGTATTCAATGCATGAATATTCGATATTTGGTTTTTTAATGAATTTAATCTGTGATTGCGTTTAAAAATTGTTTGAAGACTACATATCAAAGAAATTATGAAATATTCTAATATTCTGACTTGTTGGAAATGAGTGTTAGCACATTTTGTTTTGTTAATACAGAAAATGTGTTACAAGTAAGAACACGACAGTTTAATTGAATTATTCCTTTATTTCTTCATTACCCGCCTGGATGAAAATATATAATTTGTATCTGCTACAAATACACCTCTTGAATACATTTAAAAATATACGTACAAAATATTAAACTTTCATAAGATTGCTTGTGGCTTAAGATTGCATACAGTAAATGATATCATGAACATCGTTTTCTTTTCCAATATCTGCTACAAATACACCTCTTGAATACATTTAAAAATATACGTACAAAATATTAAACTTTCAATAAATGGACCTAGTCGTTGCAAAACTTGTATGTGGCATAAGATTGCATACAGTAAATGATATCGTGAACATCGTTTTCTTTTCCAAATTCTAAACATATTTTACACTGTGTTTATCTAAACACTTTTTTATGAAATAAGTACAAATATACAGCTTGTCAAATGAAAAGCTTTCTGAATTCCGTTATGGTCCCGCCTACTAGATGTGAGTTCGTTAGAAGACTATGAGAGCGACAGAGAAAGAGAATTCTCGAATATCTTCCTAGATTTGATAAGCTGTATGTGAAAGTTTTCTGTGTCATATTCGGTCTTGTATTATCAGTAGTGTCTATAAATAATGTTTGATTTGTACAAGTTCGGGGTACTAATAACTCATATCGCTTGATGACTTCAGGTGTCATTTGGGTCAGAATTTCATCGAATTCCTCCAAGCAGTTGGCATCTTCTCTTTGTTCAAAGTAACCTAATGCAAACAGTTTTTTAAACTGTATCGATGTTGGATTCTTGCAATTACCACGTCTGTTGCATAATTCCTCCAAAAAAAATTTCTAAGCCATCTTTATTGAAATGCCTGGTGAGCAACTATTCAATCCCTCATCTTTTAAAATTTGTTACAACATAAGGAATGCTGAAATCATTATTTACCATCCCTTCCCAAACTTCATCCTATTGGTCTCCGTCGTTTTCTTTTAAAACTCTCATTTCTCCAAACATTGTTTTCATACCTTTTAAAAAACGAGTAAAACATGAGATATGTATGAACCTGGAATATTTCTGGCGAATTGGTAATATTAGCCACAAAACATATGTTTATCATGATTCCACATGCGAAACGTCGTCAGTCTGATAAGCGGTAAATTCCATGAAAAATTTCAGATATGACAACGTTGACGATTATCGAGACAATTCACGACACATTAAAAAACTATCCGCCACGATTCGATCATGCGCGCTGTGATTTATTACCAGAGTGGGGACAGTAGGACTACTGGGTCTTTTAGCATTCTACTGTGATATAACCATCTAATGATGTGACCCTAAGTTTTTAGACCGTATTGGGGTGGCTGCCAACTTATACTGTGAATGTGGTCGAACTGAATCTGGTAATCATATTTTTTTTAGAATGCCCTATTAACATCATTCCTGAATACGATATATACCAAAAATTCATTAATACAGGCATTACAGCTCCTTTGGACATGTTTTTAGTAATAAGAAATTTGAATATACCTAGTATAAAAATAATAATTCACTTCATGAAATATAATAACTGTAAATTGTAAAATGGGGAGGAGATACTACTATTTCTGTCGCTCATTCTCTATTTTACTTTTTGGACCTTTTGTTTGTGTTCTGTGTACCATTTTCCAACAACCAACCTTTTTACACAAAATAAGAAAAATAAACTGTATTTAGGTGTTTTCTGGCGTTTAATCGTATTCGAGCGCGGATTCGAAAACGATTCGTAGTTACGTAATTGATGAATATAACTGGAGTTTTTTCCCAACACCAAACCGTTATTTCAACACCTCGACACGTGTTTCGATCACCAAGTGATCATCTTCAAGAGGAAGATTAAACTAAATATACTTACACTGTTATCCTTATTTATACGATAGATACTTCTTCTAGATACCCGCGTTTTTAATTAATTTCACAATATTGCCTTATCTACTAGTCTCAAAGTAATTTTACAATGCGTCCTTATGTAATAGTCAGGTGAATCTAATATTTAAAATATTATTTTAACAAGTTATATATTATACTATTAGGTATTGGTCCACCATCGTTATTCAAAATATTATTATGTTTACTTATTTCTACCCTTTCATAGGGTAGAAATAATAGGACTCGACAAAATGGAATGATTCAATTTATGTCAGATGTTAAATTCAATAATGAAAAAAAACTCTTCAATTTTTCCTAATGTCAATTATAATCTGATTTGTGCAAGTAACTGATAATTTTTCTGATTTATTTTGTACATCCTTACAACGTATTTGATGAAAAGTTTTCAACACTTTATGAACTATGACAATCAAAATAAATCAGAAACTGACAACTGACCTAACGTAATGTCAAATTCCGTTTCAAAACCAACCTCACGCTAGTTTTGTATCATGATGAATACGTTTCAAATCATAGTTGCTGTGACGTCATCATTTCAACGCCAGAATGAATGTATTTGAATCACAGACAAATACGTTTTGAATACATGAGCGCCAGAAAACGTCTTAAGTGATTAAGAACTATCCACACGAAAATTTCAACAAGTTAAGAACGGTATTGCTTCGACCAAGTTAAACTGCCTCCAGACGAAGAGAGACGAAGCTCCTATTATGCTATGTATTCTGAGTTAAACATTTATTGTTCATTAATAATGATTAACCATGTACATTTACAAAGTCCATTTTTATTAACGACGCATCACGGTTCCTGTCAACCATACTGTTCACTGGTCTTGTCCACGCAACACGGAATATACATAAGATTTGTCCTCTCAATGTGTACTGTTTCGAATCGTCCAAAATCAGTTAGGCAATTTTGAACTGAAAAGCTTAACGCGACAAAATGTTCAGTTTTCAGTTAGGTGACTGTCCGGGTAGAGAACCAGAACAAGCCCATCAATTGAACTAAACTTAATCCTAAGTTACACTATCGTGACAGTCACCCAACTGAATACTGAATATGTTGTCACGTAAACCGTTTCAGTGCACAACTAACTCACTTATTCTGGACGATTGGAAACAGTACGAACTAAGAACCAGAACAAACTTTCAATGAAAGAAGTGTACGGAATTTCGTGTAGTTGATTTGAATTATTCCATTTCCCAAGACTGGCCATAACTGTAAAAATCCCACCATCTACAAGGAATTCTGTCACTGACTTGTCAACTTTTAGTCAAAGAATGTCTTTAATAGACACATCAATATGACTTCACTCAGCATTGTTCGTACAACCATGCCTTGTTTCAAGTAATTTTGCTGTTGGTTTTCATTTTCACATACCACTTCTAAAAGAAGCACATTTAATAAAAATAATAATAATAATAAACGCCTTT